ATGGGAATGGCACTGGGATGGGATGAGATGGGATGGGAATTGCACTGGGATGAGCTGAGAATGGCACTGAGATGGGAATGGTACTGGGATGGGATGGGATGGGATGGGATGAGCTGGGAGTGGCACTGGGATGAGCTGGAGTGACACTGGGATGGATTGGGAGTGGCACTGGGTTAGGAATGGCACTGGGATGGGAATGGCACTGGGATGGACTGGGAGTGGCACTGGGTTAGGAATGGCACTGGGATGGATCAGGAGCTGACACTGGGATGGGAATTGCACACTGGGATGGGCTGGGAATGATTTTCAGGACGCTCCAGGAGCCTTCCCCAGGTTTTGATCCCCAGGGACAGATCCTGGAGTTTTCAGTGTCCCCACATTTGTTGCGTTGACGAAGTCCTGAATTTCCTCCCCCTGGGGCTCAGAGACCCCAGCCCTGATGGAAACATCCCCTGAACTGTGCAGGGCCCTGGGGGGAGCTGAGAACCCCTGCAGGGCTGGAGCTGACATTTCCCAGAGCCTCAGGGAGCGCTGCCCCAGCCTCAGACTGGGATTGCAATTCCCAGATTTGGGGACAGGGAATAATTTCACTTTTGTGCAGAGCTGTGGAGCTGAGCGTGTTCCATGCACAACTCCAGGCACGGATAACCTTTGCTTATTCCCAGCCTGGAGTTACCCTGGGCTGGGTTTTTGCTGCCTAAGCCCTTCCAGCTGCCCTTTCCTGCTCTGATTCCCAAATCACCAGCTCTGGAGGCACCTCGGAGCCAGAATGTGAATTAATAATGTGCTAAGAAAATAAAGACACTTCAACAGCCTTTAAATCAAGGGGAACAGCCTGTTAAAGGCTTTGGACAAATCCCATTACTTTGTGTGCAGTTTTAGGGCTGGCAGGAATAAATCTCCGGGCAATTTATGGACGGTGACAAATTTCTTTCAGGAGGAAAGAATCCCATGGGGGATGCTCCTGGTTATCCAGAGATTCTCTGAGGAGTTGTGGAGTTATTGATGTGTCCCACTGGGAGTCACAACACAATTTGTTGGCATCAAAATCCATTTTGGGAGGCTGGGATGCTCCTCCCTGGGGCTGGGGTGGCAGGAGCAGAGCAGGAGGGGGCAGGGATGGGAATTTCCTGTTGTTGGTGGAGGGGACAGGGATTGGGAGTTTTCTGTTGTTGGTGCATGGCCAGCAAAGAGGGATCAGGGAATCTGGGGGCTCTGGAGCTGCTGGAGCCTCTCCTGGAGTGGCTGCAGGGACCTGGACCCCGCTGGTGTCCCCAGAGCTCCCTGTCCCCTGTTATCCCATTTTCGGTGTCACAAACCTCTCTAAGTTAACCAGGAAAATCTGGTTTTGATGGAAAACTGTAGGAATTTGGTTGGGATTGTCCACAGCCGTGGATTGCCCTGGCTGCAGCCCCCAGTTCCCGTCTCAGGGCTCCCTGGGAATTGGGGTTCCCTCCCTGGAAATTCCTGCTCCAGAAATTTCTCTTCTCCTCTTTTCCCCCTTGGAGCATCCGGAGGAGCAGGATCACCCCCGTGGCCTCTCCTCAGAGGTTCAGGGGAGCTGCAGGGCTGGGGTTCTGTGCAGGGAGAGCTCCTGCAGCACCCAGGTGTGACACATCCCTCACCTGTCCCGGAGGGCTCTGCAGGGCTGGGGTTCTGTGCAGGGAGCAGCTCAGGTGTGACACATCCCTCACCTGTCCCGGAGGGCTCTGCAGGGCTGGGGTTCTGTGCAGGGAGCAGCTCAGGTGTGACACATCCCTCACCTGTCCCGGAGGGCTCTGCAGGGCTGGGCTTGGCTCGAGAAGGGGCAGCGAGCTGGAATTCTCTGCTTGAGCAGGGGAGCCTGGAGAGGACAGGGCAGGACAGGACAGGGCAGGACAATCCCTCAGTGTCACCAGGAATGTTGGGAATGAGGCCTCAGCCCTCGAGAAGGGGCTTTGGGTCCCCTCAGTGCTGCCCAGGAGGGGTGGGAGGGGAGTTCTGTGAGGGCTTTGGTGTCGCCCAGAATAATTCTGGAATTGGATAAAACCTCCAAGGCCATCGAGCCCAACCATCCCCAGCCCTGCCAAGGCCACCCCTGTCCCCAAGTGCCACATCCCCACTGATTTCAACCCCTGCAGGAGTGGGAATCCAACCTGTCCACCCTTTCCACGGAGGAATTTCTCCTCCTGCAGCCACCCAGGCTCCCAATAAGCCCAAAGTGATTTTCTTTCATTTCCATTGGCAGTGAAATCCAAGCTGCCATGGCTGGGAGCTGCAGGAAGCACAAATGGTGATTTTCTTTCATTTCCATTGGCAGTGAAATCCAAGCTGCCATGGCTGGGAGCTGCAGGAAGCACAAATGGTTTTCCCCCAGCCACGGGCAATGTGGTTTTTTTGGTTTTTTTTTTTGGTTTTTTTTTTGGTTTTTTTTTCACCTGGAACTGGAGCAGCCAAGTGTGGGATTGTCCTCCAAGCAGGAACAGTCACTCGGTGCCACAGGGCTGTACCCAGAGCAGCCACTGCAGGTTCCGCAGATCCCTTTGTCAGCACTAAAAAGGGCTCAGATCCTGCTGGAGGCTTCTGGCGTTTCATAGGGGAGCTCAGATTAGAGGAGGAACACTCGGATTTTCCTCTCCCCAAAATGCAGGGCTGAGCGTGGGACAAGGCAAAGGCTGAACCTCGTTTCATTGTCTGGCAGGAACCTGCTCCTTCCTGGAGTTTCTTCAGCATCCCCCAAAGCCCAGATCCCCCTGAGGCTGCAGCTCCAAAGCTGGCTCTGAGGCAGGGCTGGGGTTGATATTCCTGAGTGCCAGAATGTCTGAATATTCCTGAGTGCCAGAATTTCTGAATATTCCTGAATCCCTGTGCCTCAGGGCACCTCTGTCCCCTGTTCCCCCCCGAGACCATCCAGCTTTTTGTGCTGTAGGATGAACAATTCCTCAGCACGAGGATCCCTTCCAGCTCTGAGAGCCTTCCAAGCAGAGAGGGCAGAGGGGGAAGCTCCACACAGCAATTCCCACAGCCAGGGGCTCCTGATCAAGGGCTTCGGGAGAGGCAGAGGGATTTCGGGATGAAAGTCTTGAAATTAAACTTGAATTAAAGGCACAAATGCCAGAATGGCGTCAGCTGGGAGGGACCTCGAAGGTCTTCAAGTCCCATCCCTGTCCCAGGGTGCTCCAAGCCCTGTCCAGCCTGGCCTTGGGTGGATGGATGGATGGATGGATGGATGGAGGGAGGGATGGATGATGGATGGATGGATGGATGATGGATGGATGGATGGATGGATGGAATGATGATGGATGGATGGATGGATGGACACAGGGATGGATGGATGGACACAGGGATAGATGGATGGAGGGATGGATGGGTGGATGGATGATGGATGGATGGATGGATGATGGATGGATGGATGGACGGACGGATGGATGGATGGATGGACGGATGGATGATGGATCCATGGATTCATGGATGCATGCATGGATGGATAGAGAAGGAGGCTCTGAGCACTCTTGCCCACATTTTGGCTTTGGGGACAGGGACAGAGGATGGATTTCTCCAGAGGAACTCTGGGAACTGCCAGGGCAGCCACACCAGGCCCCTGTGGCTCTTCCAGGAGCAGGTGGGGAGGAGACCTTCAGGAATTGTCCATCCATACGAGCAGAGCAATTTTAATTTGCCCCTGCTGAGCTGCCCTGTGCCCCGGGCCCCGAGCGTTCCCTGCGCTGCTGGAGCGTGGAAAACTCCCCGTGGGCACCTCCCAGGAGCCCAAACTCCATCAGAACCGAGCCTGGCAGAGCAGGAAAACTCAACTCCAGCCATTTCCATGGAATCCTCCCTGTGGGAAGGGGACAGGGAGCTGCAGCAATTTCCATCCCAAAAAGCTGCGGATCTCCCTGCGGATCCTGGGCAGGGGGAAGGTGCCCAGGTGTGACCCCAGCGTGTCCCTGAGGCTGATCCTGGTCTGAGTGCCGTGAACAGGGGGGCAGTGCCAGCCTGGGAATCCTGGAGCATCCCTGGACACGCTGGGGACAGTCCTGGATCCCGCGGGGACAGCGGTGCAGGAGCTTCCCGGGGATCAGAGCAGGATTTTTGGGATGCAGGAGCTTCCCGGGGATCAGAGCAGGATTTTTGGGATGCAGGAGCTTCCCGGGGATCAGAGCAGGATTTTTGGGATGCTGGAGCTCCCTGTGAGATCAGAGGGCTTTTTCTGGGATGCAGGAACTTCCCAGGGATCAGAAGGGATTTTTTTGGGATGCAGAAGCTCCCTATGGGATCAGCAGGGAGGTTTTTTGGGATGCAGGAGCTTCTTGGGGGATTAGAGGGTTTTTTTTTGGGATGCAGGAGCTCCCCGTGAAATCAGAGGGGGCTTTTGGGATGCAGGTACTTTCCGTGGGATCACAGGGGGTTATTTTTGGGATGCAGAAGCTCCCCATGGGATCACAGGGAGGTTTTTGGGATACAGGTTCTCCCTGTGGGATCACAGGGGCTTTTTGGGATGCAGGAGCTCCCTGTGGAATCACGGGGTTTTTTTGGCATGCAGGTGCTCCCCGTGTGATCACAGGGAATTTTTGGGGATCGCAGGGAATGTTTTGGGATGGCAGGGATGTTTTTGGGATCACAGGGAGGTTTTTGGGATGCAAGCGCTCCCCGTGTGATCGCGGGGAATTTTTGGGGATCGCAGGGAATTTTTTGGGATCACAGGGAGGTTTTTGGGATGCAGGTGCTCCCCGTGTGATCACAGGGAATTTTTGGGGATCACAGGGAATTTTTTGGGATCACAGGGAGGTTTTTGGGGATCACAGGGAATTTTTTTGGGATCACAGGGAATTTTTTGGGATCGCAGGGAATTTTTGGGGATCGCAGGGAGGTTTTTGGGATGGCAGGGATGCGGAGCCGGGGCGGGGGCGCAGCTCAGCCCCGCAGCCCGAGCACTCCCACGGTCTGGCTCTCCCGGGCAGGCGCCTCAGGAAACTTCCCCGGCTCCGATCGCTGCGCTCCACCTTTTATTCTAATGGGCTCCGCATCGCCATAGGAACCCGAGCCCGCCCGGGCGGCAGCGAGCGCCGCCGCTCCCGGGGCCGGGCACGGCCGGGGATGGATGCGGGAGCCCGGGGCAGCCGCCAGGTACCGACCCGGGGGCACCGGGACCCCCCAGCCCCGGGAAATGCCCCAGGAGGGTGGGGGGAGAGGGCAGGGAGCCGGGTTTGGGGTGGGAACAGCTTTTACTAGGGTTGTGTGGGTTTGGGTGAAGAGTTCTTGGCTGGGTCAGGGTCTCAGGGATTTGGGGTGGGAACAGCTTTTCCTGGGGTTGTATTGGTTTGGGCGAAGGGTCCTTGGCGGGGTCGGGGGTCTCAGGGATTGGGATTTGGGGTGGGAACAGCTTTTCATGGGGTTTGGTTTGGGCGAAGGGTCCTTGGCGGGGTCGGGGGGCTCAGGGATTGGGATTTGGGCAAATCCATCCCTGCGTGGCTGGGGCTGGGCTGAGCCTCCCCCATGGCTGCTCCTGGACGGGATGGGACATCCCAGACACTCCATGGGGCTGATCCATGGGATCTCCCTGGATCCAGGCTCCATCTGCGCCACGCTGCTGGGTCCAGGCAGGATTCCAGCTCGGGAGAGGGGCTGGAGCCCTCCCATCATCCACAGGCTGCTCCAGCAGGGCTGGAGAGGTCCTGGGAGCAGGTTTGGGATGTGAGGGGACACCAGACACCCAAGGAATCCTGACGAGGCTCGGGATCCTCCCTGGGAACGGTCCAGACCCAGAGCAGGATCCCTCCATCCCTTTGTCCATGGGATGGAGAGGGGCTGGGATGGGAGGGAGCCCCTGGACCCTGCTGGACCCTTGGGAAGGGCTGGCACTGCCTGCTCCTGGCTTTTCCTGCTCCTCCAGGCTGGGATGGATCTGCTGGAGGGTCGGGAACAGCCAGGCTGGAGGTGCAGGGGGGGCTCAGCATCTCTGGGCATGGACAGGGTGGGGAGAAGGGTCTGACCCTAACAGGGAGGCTGGGAAGGGGAGGTGGACCCCAGTGGACCCCAGTGGATCCCAGTGGATCCCAGTGGACCCCAGTGGACCCCAGTGGATCCCAGTGGATCCCAGTGGACCCCAGTGGACCCCAGTGGATCCCAGTGGACCCCAGTGGACCCCAGTGGATCCCAGTGGGTCCCAGTGGACCCCAGTGGATGGGATTCCTGCCATGGGGAGCACCTTTACTGCTGCTGGGCCTGACATAGGGCAGAGGAGCAGCCCTGAGCTGGGGCAGGAGCAGATCGCAGGGGTGACACAGCTTTGGGATCCACAGCAAGGGGACACAGGAAAATCAGGATTGTCCCAGCCCCATAAGCCAGGGGAACAGCCCTGTGCCCTGCAGGAGCCTCACGCCTTGCTTTGAGTGGGGCCAGCTCCGTGCCCAGGGCTCGGATCCTGCTGGGAGTTCAGGATTCCCTGGCACAGCCCCTGGATGAGCTCCAGAGGCTGCCAGGCCCCGTCCCAGCAGCTGCATTTACTGAAAAAGGCAATGCAGGGATTGCAGCTGCTCCAGGGCGGGCACCAGGGTGTCCAGAGAGGGGCACGGAGCCGCCTCTGTCCGTCTGTCCTGCTGCACACGGCTGGGACAGACACCAGGACCCGCTGCTGAGGAGGTGAAGGGAAGGAGGGAGGGACCCCCATGGCCCTGACAGTGAAGCTTTTCCCATCTTTGAGGAGTTCAGGCACCAAAAATCGGGGAAAAAACCCTCCAGGGAGATTTTCCAGGGCTTCGCTCATGAGCAAGATGAGGGTGGGGAAGTGGTTTTAAGGGAAAAGAGCAAGATGAGGGTGGGATAATATTTTTAAGGGAAAAGGGGAGATTTGGGGGAATGGTTTTAGGGGAAAAGAGCAAGATGAGGATGGGGAAGTGGTTTAAGGGAAGAGGGGAGATTTGGGGTAATGGTTTTAAGGGAAAAGTGGGGAGATTTGGGGTAATGGTTTTAAGGGAAAAGAGGGGAGATTCGGGGTGGAAATGGTTTTAAGGGAAAAGAGGGGAGATTTGGGGGAATGGTTTTAAAGGAAAAGAGGGGAGATTCGGGGTAATGGTTTTAAAGGAAAAGAGGGGAGATTCGGGGTAATGGTTTTAAAGGAAAAGAGGGAGATTTGGGGTAATGGTTTTAAGGGAAAACCATAGGTTTTTAAGGGAAAAGAGGGGAGATTCGGGGTGGAATGAGGCAGGAATTTGTTAGGATGAGGGTGGGGAGGGGTTGGGATGGAATTCCCATCCCTAGAGGTGCCCCAGGCCGGGGTTTGGAGCAGCTTTGGGCACTGGAAGGTGCCAGGGCTGGCTCTGGATGGACTTCAAGGTCCTTCCAGCCCAAACCTGGATCGTGCCCTCCATCCCACCTGGATCACACCCAGATCCTGCCTGGCTCTGCGCTGACTCCATCCTTTGTTCGCAATAAGCATCTCATTAGATATTCCCCGTTCCCAAATTAACATTTAATTCGTGCCTCGTTCCCAGAAAAAAACCTGGGCGCAGCCTCCTGGAATTGTTGACAGTGATCCTGTTCCTTTGTGAGCTCTGTCCCTATTAAGCAATTTCCTCGCCTGTGTCTTTTGAGTTACTAAGGGAACAGGAATAAAATCTTAATAAAACTCCATCAACCGTTCCTGAAATAACAGCAGCTCCTTGGAGGGGCCTGAGCAAGGGATGGGGCTCTGCTCCAAATTCCCAGGAAATCCAGAGCACAGAGTCAGGGCTGGGGTGGGCTGGAAGGGCCCAAAGCTCATCCAATTCCACCCATTTCCACCCAATTCCACCCAATTCAACCACCCCAGGGTGCTCCAGCCACAGCTGCTCTGGGAGCCCCCACTGATGAAAAGGCAACAAATCCCAAAAGGAATAAATCCTTTATTTTCAGGATAAATAATATTTAATATAAATAATACATAAATTGCAGAAATATATCTTTTGTATTAGTAATATATAAATATATATAATAAAATAAAAATATTAAATATAAATAAATATATTAACATTAATATATTAATATTATATAAATAATACCAGGGTTAGCAATTAGCAGGAATTTTTCTCTTTTGTCCTGACTGTGCCTGATCCTCCCTGGATTTGGGCCCTGAGCCAGTTGGGCATCACCAAATCCAGGATTTATTGCTGTCCTGAGCACCAAAAAGGGGAAGTTTTTAACCCAATACGTCCATGGGAAGCACCGAGAGAGGTTTTGGCTAGGTTTAGAATATTGGAGGAATTCCTCCATGGAAAGGGGTGGAATCCCCATTCCTGGGGGGATTTAAAATCTTATGGATGTGGCATCTGGGGACAGGGTCAGTGGTGGCCTTGGGATTGCTCTGCCTTGCCCTTCCCCATGGATATTGGATATTGGATATTAAATATTGAGTATTGGATGTCGGATATAGGATATTGGATATGGGATATTGGATGTTGGATATTGAATATTGGATATTAAATATTGGATATTGCTGCCAGGAAAGGCAGGGGATGCTCCTGAGCTCTCCTAGGGAGATTTTGGGCTTTTTTCTCCCTGGAACCTGAATTCAGGCTCCAGGATGCTGCAAGGGGATATTGGGGTGGATATTCCACGGCTGATGGTGTGGATATTTCAGGGCGGATGGTGTGGATGTGGAAAGGGATGATGGTGTGGATATTTCAGGGATATTGATGTGGATGTTCCAGAGACTTTGGTGAGGATGTTGCAGGGGGATGGTGTGGATGTTCTCCTGAGGGGGTGGTGTCAATGTTCTCCCAGAGAGGATGACGTGGATGTTTTCCCAGGGAGGTTGTCATGGATGTTCTCCCAGGAATGCTGGTGTGGATATTGCAGGAATATTGATGTGGATATGCCAGGAATATTGATGTGGATATTCCAGGGACTTTGGTGTGGATATTCCAGGGATATTGATGTGGATACTCTGGGGAGGTTGGTGTGGGTATTGCAGGGAGATTGGTGTGGATATACCAGGGATGTTGGTGTGGATATTCCATTGATATTGATGCGGATATTCCAGGGAGATAGCTGTGGATATTCCATGGATGTTGGTGTGGATATTCCATGGATATTGGTGTGGATATTCCATAGATATTGGTGTGGATATTCCATGGATATTGGTGTGGATATTCCATAGATATTGGTGTGGATATTCCATGGATATTGGTGTGGATATTCCAGGGAGGTTGCTGTGGATATTCCATGGATGTTGGTGTGGATATTCCATAGATATTGGTGTGGATATTCCAGGGATTTTGGTGTGGATATTGCAGGGATACTGGTGTGGATATTCCATGGATATTGGTGTGGATATTCCAGGGAGGTTGCTGTGAATATTCCACGGATATTGGTGTGAATATTCCATAGATATAGGTGTGAATATTCCATGGATATTGGTGTGGATATTCCATAGATATTGACGTGGATATTCCAGGGATATTGGTGTGGATTTCTCCTGGGTGACCTCCCCCAGTGCTGGGAGTTCCAGAGGTGTCCCGGGATGTGCTGCTGCGCTCCCTGCCGTGGCCACAGCCCCTGTTTTTAACCCTGTCCCTGTTCTCTCTGTCCCAAAGCCCTGGAGAGCCGGAGCCCAGCTCGGTGACGGGGCCCTGTGGGCACAGCCTGGCCCTGCTCCTGTCCCCACGCAGCTGCAGCCAGGTGGGTGCCCCTGCTCCTCGGCAATCAGCTCCCCCTGTCCTTGCTGGGTCCACCCTGGGGCAGCCCCAGGCCTCCCTGAGCAGCCCTTGTGTCCTTTTTGGTGGGGATCCCCTGGGATTTGGGCTTCCAGCACCAGCCTGGGCCTCTCCGGGGATTGCTGGGCATTCATGGTCAGAGGAGCAGCCTCTGCACCAGTGCCTGGAGCTGCCCACCCGTGCCTTGTGCCCTCACCAGTGGCTTGCCAGGAAATCCAGAACTCCCTGAGCACCTCCCTGATCCTGTTGTTGCATCCCGTGGCTGGTTCCTCCTCCCCAGCATCCCTGCTTTCCCCACATCCCATTCCTTCTCCTTCACCATCTGTTTTTCCACATCCAACCCCTCCTCCCTCACCATCCCTGCTTCCCCCACACTCAATTCCTCCTCCCTCACCATCTCTGCTTTCCTCGTGGCCAATTCCTCCTCCTCCACCATCTCTGCTTTCCTCGTGGCCAATTCTCCCTCCCTCACGATCTCTCCATGCCCGTACCCATTCCCTGCTCCCTCACCAGCTCTGTTTTTCCCTCCAGGAGCTCTGGGCTCACCCAGGAGCCGATCCCGAGGGTTTCCCCATGGAATAGGCGCTTCTCCAGGTGCCTGGGCACACGAGAAGCTGAAGTTGGTCGCCCCGGGGCACCCGAACCCGCCGTGCCCTGGAGCCCCCGGCCTCTGCCATGAATGATGCATCCACCATGGATTATGAACTGCTCTCCCCGTCCCTGGTGGAGCACCCCGCCGGCGCCGCGGGCATGGATGCTGAGCAGAAAACTGTCTTTGCCTTCGTCATCTTCCTCCTGGTGTTCCTGGTGATGCTGATGGTGCGCTGCTTCCGCATCCTGCTGGACCCCTACAGCCGCATGCCCGCCTCCTCCTGGACAGACCACAAGGAGGGCTTGGAGCGGGGCCAGTTCGACTACGCCCTGGTGTGAGGGGAGCCCGGGCCGAGCTCCAGCCCCGCTGCCCCTCCATCCATCCATCCACCCATCCATCCATCCATCCATCCATCCATCCATCCATCCCTCCCTCCCTCCCTCCTTCCCTCCCTCCCTCCGCAGGGATGCTCCGGGCCAGGGGGCGAGCAGGGGGTCTGGCCCCAGGGAGGTTTTCTAGGCGTTTCTCTCTTTTCTAAGCACTTTTCATTTCTCTCGGCAGCCCGTGGGACGCTGGGGGTCGGGCAGGGGGGCTGGACGGAGACCCCGGTGCCCCCCGTGCCCCCGGGCACCGCGGACGGGGCATGGCGGGACCTGCCCTCGGCCCGCGGGGCCCCTGGGCTGGGCTGGGCTCTGCCCGGTGCCAGGCCCGAGCTTTGACCCCCGCTGCCCCCCGTGAGTGCCCCCCGGCAGTGCCCCCGTGGTCCAGTGCGTGTCCGTGTGTCCTGTAGCTGAGCTGTGTCCGTCAGGGGTTTCTCGGCACCGGCCCCCAGTGCTGGCTTTGTTCCTCCTCTGTGCCACTCCCGAGCCCCCCAAAAGCGAGGGGAGGCTGGAGACCCCTCTGTGCAGCCCCTCCTTGGGCTCCAGCCCTGTCCGTGCCCAGCTGGTGACAATGGAGCCAGGGGCAGTCCTGGCCTGGGGACACCAGGACAGCTCAGGGGTCCCCAAAACACCCGGGAGAGGCTCCTGGGCCATCCCTGCTGGGGTGTCCGGCGCTCCCCGGGATCTCCAGGGCTCTGGAAGTGGCCGAGGGGCTGCCAAGGGCCGTGGTGGGCAGCGGGAGGGTCCTGCCAAGGGATTTGGGCCCGGCGGGGAGGGAGAACCTCGCCCCCCTCCATGGAAATGAAGGGATTTGGAAATGAAGGGGTTTGGAAATAAAGCCGCACCGTGCCGACCCCAGCCGGCTCCTGCTCCGCTCTGTGCTGCGTCCCGGGAGGGGAACGGGACCCTCCAAAACCCTGGGGGCAGGAGGAGGAGGAGGAAAAGGAGGAGGAAGAGGCGAGGGGTCATTGTGGGCGCTGCAGGAGTGACCACCAGGTCACTCTGTCCCCAGGACATGGGGACCCAGCCCGGCCACCTCCTGTCCCAGCACGGTCCGGCACAAATCCCCGCTCACACACGGAGCTGTTCCAGGACATTTTGCGGCTGTCCGAGCCCCTGTTTGCCCCTGCCCGGTGTTGTCCCCTCTCTCCGGTTCTGTCCCCTCTGTCCGGTGCTGTCCCCGCTCCCTCCCGGCCCCGGGTGCCGCAGTCCCGCCCGCCCTCTGCTGGCACCGGGCTCCGTCTGCGCTGGCAGCCGGGAAGAGCTTCCAAAAACCGGGAATTTCGGCCTGGAAGGAGCGTCTGGGCTGGACCACATCGGCCCGACCCCGGCCAAGCCACCCAGGGCCAGGACAGGGACATCTAACACTGCTCAAGCCTGGCCTTGGGCACTGCCAGGGATCCACAGCTGCTCTGGGCATTCCATCCCATTCCCTCCCAGCCAGGAATTCCTTCCCAATACCCACCCAAATTCCCCAGTTTGGTCCAGTTTGAAGCCATTCCCTGTGTCCTGTCCCTCCATCCTTGTCCCCAGCCCCTCTCCTGGAGCCCCTTTAGGCTCTGAGCTCTCCCCGGAGGCTTCTCCAGGCTGGACAATCCCAATTCCATCTCCAAAGAAAGCTCCAGGCTGGGAGCTCCCAGTCTGTGCCCACACAAAGACACAGCTCAAATTAACCCAAAATAATTTTATTGTTGCCGTTGCTTCTGATACAAAAAAGGAATTCCACAAAGAGCCACCTCTCTGTGCGGGACAAGGGGCACAGGTTTGGGGTTTCAACACTTCCCCCCGAAAAAAACCAACCAGCAAGAAATGTCAATATAAAACAAATTTTAAAAAACCAAAAAAACAAACCAAAACACCACACCAGAGAGGAGGAGAGGAAACCTTGAGCTTTGAGACTTTGGCTCAACACACGCACACAAACCCAGCTCTGCTAATTTATTATTATTATTATTATTAATACTTTTTGGATTTTGGTTTTTCTTTTTTTTTTTTTTTAAAAAAGCACCTGTTGGAAAAAAACAAACCAAAAATAATAATTAAAAAAAAAAACCAAAAAAACAATCCCAAACATCAGGCCACCCATCCTGTCACAAGCTCTGGGACTCTTGTAAAATCCAGAGTCTGGAGCTGCTTTGAAGAGTTTTCAAGTTTGCCTGGAGCCCCGATACAGTAAACACACACATCCCCCACCCCAGAGAAATTCCCACCCCTCCAAAAAAACCGTAAAGCTACAGGAAAATGCACTCCTGACAGCACCGAGCCAGCATTGCTTTGGTGGTTTTCCATAAATATGGGAGGGTGGATGGATGGACACAGTGCAGAACGCTGGCCAGGAACCAGCACCCAGGAGCTGAGAGCACCTCGGACTGGGGACGAGGCAGCTCCTGGGAATGAGCACCTTTATCCCGGGAATGAGCATCTTGATCATGGGAATGAGCACCTTTTAGCCCAGGAATGAGCATCTTTATCCTGGGAATGAGCACATTTTATCCCGGGAATGAGCACCTTTTATCCTGGGAATCAGCACCTTTATCCCGGGAATGAGCACCTTTTATCCTGGGAATCAGCACCTTTTATCGTGGGAATGAGCCTCTTTTATCCCGGGAAGGAGCCTCTTTTATCCTGGGAATCAGCACCTTTATCACGGGAATGAGCACCTTAATTACAGGAATCAGCACCTTCTATCTTGGGAATCAGCACCTTTATCCCGGGAATGAGCATCTTAATCACGGAAATCAGCACCTTTATCCCGGGAATGAGCAGATCCCCGGCTGGGAGCGTCCTGGATAAGGGGGAGAGGTGGGAGCAGAGGGAGGGCAGTCCCTGCTCAGGAGCTTGGACTCTTTGGCTTTTGGGAGCTTTGCGAGCTGTGGCTTGGGCTTGGTCCCCAGAGCAGAGCATCCCCAGAGGTGCCGATTCCATAGGGACATTCCCCATGGCTGATTCCACAGGGACATTCCCCACGGCTGTTCCTGTGGTGGCTGATCCTGGCAGGACATCCTCCATGGCTGTCCCAGCAGGTGCTGATCCCACAGGGACATTCCCCATGGCTGTCCTGGTGGTGGCTGGTCCTACAAGGACAGTTCCTGTGGTGGCTGATCCCACAGGGATGTTTCCCGTGGCTGATCCTAGTAGGACATCCCCATGGCTGTCCTGGTGGTGGCTGATCCTACAAGGACAGTTCCTGCGGTGGCAGATCTTAGCAGGACATCCTCCATGGCTGTCCCATCAGGTGCTATCCCACAGGGACGTTTCCCATGGCTGTCCTGGTGGTGGCTGGTCCTACAAGGACAGGTCCTGGTGGTGGCTGATCCTACAAGGACAGTTCCTGTGGTGGCTGATCCTAGTAGGACATCCCCATGCTGTCCCAGCGGTGGCGGCGGCGGCGGTGGCAGGAGAGGATCCCGTCGTTGTTGCCGGGGTGGGTGGCGAGGGGCAGGGCTGCGCTGTCGGGTGGGACTGGGGGGGTCTCTGGTGGCTTTAGTAGAGCTGGAGCTGCAGCTTCATCCTCAGTGCCTGGCCCAGCTCCCCCGCCAAGTAGTCGAGGTGGTTGTCGGCCTCGAGTTTGTGCAGTTCCCGGCGGCGGGGCAGGCCCACGCTGACGATCTCCAGCACGTAGATGCCCGGCAGGATTTTCTTGCGGCCCAGGTGCAGGAAGCTGAGCCCGTCCCTGTGGTGGATGCGGAACAGCCCCTCCTCGTTGCCCTGGGCGATGGCGTAGCGCACGCGGTTCTCCAGCGGCTCCAGGGCTGGAAGAAGCTCCAGGATGTGCTCCTTGTGCGCCAGCTCCGACAGGTTCAGCGCCATGGACAGCGGCGCCTCCACGTCCATGCTGGCCAGGTTCACCTCGTGGTCCTGCTGGGAACAGCAAAATTAACACACCAACAGCAGAGGTTTGTATCCAAAAAGGAGACAGAGGAGTCCTGACTCTATTTGAATAAAGGGAGAACCGTGCTGGCCAGGTTCACCGCGTGATCCTGCTGGGAACAGCAAAATTAACACACCAACAGCACAGGTTTGTGTCCAAAGAGGAGATACAGGAGTCCTTCTGATTTATTTGAATAAAGGGAGAACCATGCTGGCCAGTTCACGGTGTGATCCTGCCCAGGAACAGCAAATTAACAAGCAAAAAGGAGACAGAGGAGTCCTTCTGGATTTATTTGAATAAAGGGAGAACCGTGCTGGCCAGGTTCACGGTGTGTCAGGAAAATTAACCCACAAACAGCACAGGTTTGTGTCCAAAGAGGAGACAGAGGAGTCCTCCTGACTTTATTTGAATAAAGGGAGAATCATGCTGGCCAGGTTCACAGCATGATCCTGCCCAGGAACAGCAAAATTAACCAGCAAAAAGGAGACAGAGGAGTCCTTCTGGATTTATTTGAATAAAGGGAGAACCATGCTGGCCAGGTTCACGGTGTGTCAGGAAAATTAACCCACAAACAGCAGAGGTTTGTGCCCAAAGAGGAGACAGAGGAGTCCCTGGGGTAACAGGATCCACTCCAGGCCCTGTTCCTGAAGGGATCCAGCCCCTGCCTTGCTCCAGCCCCTCCAGATGCCCTGGGTTCCTCACCTGGTGCCTCTCCGTGCCGTTGACGCTGCGCCGCTGCCGGCCCCTCTTGGGGTACCCGTTGATCTTGCACTCGTAGCACGTCTCGGGGGACAGCAGGTTGTCCTCATCCTCCTCCTGGGGCGCAGGCAGGTAGGGACCCTTCCCAAACCCCAAGCCAGAAATGCAGTGGCTGGTGGCAGAAGAGCAGAGGGAATACCCGTGAATCCAACGGAAACGTCAGCACTCCCGGGTTCTCCGTGTGGGGGACACCCAGAGGGTCACACGTGGATGTGCCTTACCCCTGTCCTGCTCTGAAGTACCCCCCGGGGCAGCCGCACAGGTACCCCCCGTCCGTGTTGGAGCAGCCGTAGCTGCAGGGGCTGCCCCCGGCCGAGCACTCGTCCACGTCCTGGCAGCCCCCGAAGGCCTGGTCGAAGTCGAAGCCCGAGGGACAGACGCACTTGAAGCTGCCCAGGGTGTTGTAGCAGGAGGCAGAGCCGCAGGCAGAGGGGCTGGAGCACTCGTTCTCATCTGCAGGGAGACACGGAGGGGTGGAATGGGGGAGTCAGGGAGTCACAGAGCCGTGGGGTGTCACCCATGGGTGCAGGGTAACTCCCATGGGTACAGGGTGCAGCCCACAAGTAAACGGTAATTCCCATGGGTACAGGATACACCCCATGGGTACAGGATACACCCTACAGATAAGGCATAACTCCCATGGGTACAGGATACACCCCATGTGTAAAGAATGCACCCCACGGGTACAGAATACATCCCATGGGTACAGGATACACCCCACAGGTAAGGGATACATCCCATGAGTACAGGATACAGCCCATGGGTACAGGATACACCCCAAGGGTACAGAATGCACCCCACAGGTAAAGGGTAACTCCTATGGGTACAGGATACACCCCATGGGTACAGAATACATCCCATGGGTACAGGATACACCCCACAAGCGTGGAGTGCATCCTACAGGTACAGGATACACCCCACAGGTATGGGATCCCTCCC